AATTAGAATAGTTAATATTCACCCATAAACCATTATTATGTGTACATTATTGTTGCTATTGTGATAATAGAGAATTTTATTTATTTTTATGCCAGCTTATATTGTGAAAACACATTTAGTCAATTTGAGTTTTATCAATCCTGTTATGCTTGTCCTTGGAACATCTTTGCGTATTCGAGGTTTGTAGTTGAAGAGTTTACTGTAAAAAAAGAAAAAATCAAAAACAAAAAAAAATGTATTGTTTTTACAGAATAAATTTATTGGAATGTGTACTGGGAGTAAGCTTTGAGGTTGTAAACAACTAAGGTAGTGTCATTTGGCTTCATATATGTAATGTGAGGTAGTAATGTAATTCATTTATTAAAGCAAAAATTGTTAATAGCAGGTTAACAGTAGAATCAAGAGTGCAGGCAAGGGTTTTCTTTTTTTTAAACTCTCTCTGGGTCTTAGGTAATTTGAAAACACTGGGAGGTAGGGGGAGTGACAACATGATTTGTACACCTAAGAAAATATTTACCAGCTCAGTGAACCCTAAATTCACACATTTGACATTATCCATGTGTTGATCTGTATCCCATTTGCTTTCAGCTTTCTCATTTTGGTGAAGAGCTAATGAACATGAAGAGAAAAGAAAGTATAAGGAAACCTAAAATCCCAGGGCCATTAATAAATAATAGGGGTCATGAGGTAGCTGAGGCCATAATGAAAGCACCAATTCACTTTGAATCCCAAGGCACACTGAGGAGGCAGCTATGTTTTGGGTTTATTTCTGTTTGAGAAAATATCAATTGTTTCTATTGTACTCACAATTCCAAATATGAAAAGTTCATAAAAAATAGGGATGCCAATCTGGTTCTTTTTCCTTAGGAGCTATCTTTTAATTTTGAACATTTTATTTTAAAATTAATGAAATTTAATTAATTCACCAAAAGATCTCTTGAATGCTTGCACTAAAACACAGATAGATGACATTTTCAATTGGAACATATAAATGATATTCTAAAATAAAAAGCCAAAACTTGTCATGAAAATATATATGTATATATAAAATGGCTCAAATTTAACAAGATTTATCTTCATAAAACACCAAAAATAATTTTATTAAAAATACACACAGAAATACAATAGAAATATTTCCAGACACCAATAAGACAAGTGTTCGTTAAGGGTAAAGATAAAGTTAATCAGTCTCACTTTAGCTATTCAGATTCACACAAAAAGTTTTAGTAAAAGCAATTTTAAAATAGCAGTAATATACTTTCCTTGAAAAACATTTTTCAAACATTTAAAAATATTCGGATAATCTGCATTTTATATTGAGGTTGATAATAAAGCATATACATCTTAAATGCAGAAGTTATTTCTCCAACCTGTGATTGCTGTTTTGAATTTTTTTATATGCATAGACCACATTCATCTCTGAAGTTACATTTTTATGCTCACTATTATAGGCACTGAATTGTAATTTTTCACACTTATTTTAGTATGTGCAAACAAAATATTGAGCTAGATGGTCAGGTTTATTCACAGATAATTTTTGTTTAAACAGATAATTTGTTTAAACAAGCTGTATCTCCACAACTTCAGTTTTCCTTCAAAAAAATTTACTCGCACAATATCATATAATTATAGCTCATACATACAATACAGAGCAAGAATTTGTGACAGTACCATATTACAGCTCACATGTAAACTACAGAGCAAGAATTTGTTTTCTTACATATTATGTATGAGAAAGTAATGGAACAAAATATCAGTACCAAAATAGCAGTCACTAATCTAGAGAAGAAAAACATCAAGTGATATTTTTATTCCACTTTTTCATCTGCCTTTGTTTTTATGAAGAACTCTGGTTTGTAGATACAGCGATAAGCCAAGAGCTGAGGAAGAACTCCATATGCTATGTTCAATGCTAAAAAAAGGATTTTTGCTTCTTCAGGGACTCTGTAGACATAAGCGGTTCTGGCATGAAGAGAAGCACCAATGTGAGAAAACTGAGCCTGTTATATTAAAAAAAAAAAAAAGTGGGTAAGCATGAAATTTGTGTTCAATTGGATGAATGATGAGTTCTGGATGGCTCATTTAGACCATGTTTCTCTGCCCTTGAAACCAGTCTTATTCACAGACAAAATACCTTCAAACAAACCACAGTCTTTTAATATGAGTTTTCATTAAGTTTAGGGTCATTCTTGATACTGTTCAAATAAAATATACTTTCTTTAGTGTGGTTTCTATCATGCCAATTGTGTTTTTTAACTGATTCAGTGCCCCATAATAAACATTGATTAGTGGCTCAATTCAATGAAAAAATCTGAATAAAACCTCCATCCTCCATTTCTTTCTGATTTGCATTCTGGAAATCCTACAAAGATTCAGCTATGCTTACAAATTATATTCCAATAAAAATTATATATAGATATATTTAGTATAAACTATTGAAAGAGAAGCACTGAGGACCTCAGCTTCATTTATCAGTCATCCACTTTTTGGAGCAAGAGCTCAAAGCCTTTTCATTGTGTATATATATAAAGTTTGTTTTTTATGCAACTTTAAAAATACGAAGGGTTGTGTTTTAAGATAAGATTGTTAACAGCTTGGATAGGGGTACGGGTATGATTGTTCTTTATAAAAGGGCAAATATATGTGCAGGCAACCTTTTAAAATCAAATTGTAAGTTACTTAGAAGTGTGACTTATCAGCTTAATTTGAGTTCACAAAACAAAAAGGCAAGGGCCTCCTTCTATACCTACATACTTCTTCAGAACACACATCCAGTTGGTCATTTTTGATACTTTTCATAAGCACAGAGGGAAACTATTAGAAAGGGAAATGCAGGCTGCAGCAAAATTAAAAGATCCTGAGAGAGGATTCCCTCAGGAAATTGGTGTCATTTTAGAATGCAACCCTCAAGTCTGTTATTTTCATGAACAAGGGATTGGGAATTTAAGTGTAACAAGTAGTAAATTATTAGATCAACAGGGTCAAAGTGAAATCTAAAGAAGACAAATAATTTTAAAATGACAAACTATTCAAATAATTTGCTTTAAGTACATTTAGGTTATTCATTTCCATCCATGTGAAACCAACATTCAGATAAGTGGTTAACAGATAAAAATGTTAACACCCAATTTTACCATGACAAGAAAAGGGCAAGCTTTTATAAGCAACATGTTTATGAATTTGTATCATCAGCAGATACTTTAATGGGCTATAATTTTACAAATTATTGATATATTCTGGATACCTCTGGTACATATTTGCTACTCTCTGGAGATAGTAATTTTTTTTTAATTACTCTGGTATGTTGCCAAGGGCCAAGTGGATTATCGGCATTGTGACCCATGAGGCACCCAGCGGGCTGTGCCCTCAGATACATTTCCCCGGGCAGATTCCCAAATCCAGCAAGTGTATTAATCCCTGGGCTACAAACACAAAAGATCTTGAGAGTAAAGAGCACTTTGGGTGCTGCCCTGAGGAGCTGCTGTTGTGGATATTTCTAGGAGCTCTGAACAGTGGTTCCTGTCACTAGTTTTTCCTAGAGCTTATTTTGAATAAGTGTTTTTTTGAATATATAACTTAACTTTTTCTTCTGGACTGGAGGCCAGTTTTGAACCCTGGTTTTCTCATAAATGTGGGTTTGGTAGCTCTATCTTTATAGACACTTTTACACACCACTAAATCACCAGATTTGGAAAAAGCCAACCATACTTTGAGAGATTAAGTAATATGAGCAGTTGTGCTTACTTGCATAGGGAAGCCTGCATAAAAAGTCAGTGTTTCTGTGGGCCCTTTTCCTGCACTAATCAGTGCAGTTAATACCTCATTTTCATGATCAGCAAACCCATGGCAACATTAAAAAAATGATTCATGTCCTTAGATTAGATTGTAAGCCCTCTGGGCAGGTACCATGTCTAATGTTTTGTGTGGCACTATCGCTTTGTTAGAGCTCAATAAACATTCAACAACAATGGTCTGTGACTCAAAATACAAAAAGGATCTGTAAAGTATTTATTTTTATAACTACCTATAGTAAGCCATTCGATTCAGAATTATTAAATAAGGGTGAAGATTTTAACTTTCCTAATCAAAAGAGATGTCTGTATATGAGAAGAGAACTCTAATGCCAGCTCCTAGTTCTGCACATAATTCTAATGGGTGCATTTATGGCAGCCATACCTCCAGCTGAGTGGGCATCCAACTATAGCTTCCTCCCAAGCATACTAGTGTTAAGTATCTAGAGTCAAGTTTCAGAGGAACCTCAGTCTCACCTGAGGGTTCCCCTCCTAAGCACACAGGACTCCATAGGATGGCTTGAAGAGTTCAGCCTGAGCACTTTGCAAGGGTCAGGAGAATGAATGAACTCATTGCTGCTGAGCTGACTTGGGGCCCAGGATTATGGGTATAAGATCTGGATCAAAGTGCAGTGGTGTGAGATTAAGTCCTTAATCATTTTTCTATTTCATTCTGGATTGTTTTCTAACTTACAAAGATCATTGAGATACAGTTTGTTTGTTTGTTGTATTGAGAATTAAACCTAGGGCACTTAACCACTGAGCCACATCCCCAGACCTTTTTATTTATTTATTTATTTTTATTTTGAGACAGGGTCTCTCTAAGTTGCTTAGGGCCTTGCTAACTTGTTAAAACTGATCTTGAACTTGTGTTCCTCCTGCCTCAACTTCCTAAGTCATTGTAATTACAGGCATGTACCACCGTGCCCAGCTTACTTTGATTTTTTTAAGATTGGATGATTGGAATGGAAAACAAGGCAATGAAAGTAAACAAAAGGCTAAGTTTTAATAGCTTTTTTTTCTTATATTCATAGATACAACCTGGAAAAGACAACTAAAAATCAGTCCTGGCTCCAGAAGGAAGAACTGAGTTTTATGTGCTCACACGAATGTTCTAGGCAAAAACTATGTGACCATTGGGACAATAGCCTGGTTATTTGGCCAATACAATATAAATAGCTAATCCGGAACCATGTTATCTTTTCTTAGGGTTTTCTGAGCAGCATAGTATAGTGATTCAGAACACTTACTCTGGAACCAGATGGCCAGAGTCAAATTCCAGCTCCACCACAAACCAGCAAGATGGCCTTGGGTGAGGTATGTAACCCTGTGGCTTCCTCATCTGTAAAAATGGGTAATAATAGAACCTACCTCATAGAGGTTCATTGCAATGATATCTGGGACATGCTTAGGATGGTGCCAAGCACATGAGGCTGTTCTGTAGACAGATTCAAAACTCAAATACTTTTTCATAATCTGGTGCTATACTTTGTTGAAAATCTGGGCTCTTGTTGACCTTTTGGCTGTCATTGTCTCCATCAAAGGATAATATAAATATGTTAAACCCAAAGTCTCATTTTAATACTAAATAAAGATGTCTGGTAATGAATCATACCAAAAGCAAATGAGTGAAGTGAGATTTGCATTAATATTACAATTATCCATGCTTTTCCTAAACCTTTATTTTCATATACTTCTTAAAGGTTTCCACAAAGGAAAAAACTAAATTCACTTCAGTAGAGTCAGCTCTTTATAACCAGATTGTCCACAGATAAGCCTCCAGACCCCTTTGTGAGAAAGTCCATGGCACCTGCACAGTCAGGAGTGGGAGAGGCGGAGGGCAACCAGTGGGAGGAGATTTCACCTTGTAAGAGTGAAATGAGCCTGCTTCTAAGGTTGTAGGGCTGCAGAAAGCCTGTTGTGAATCTGTCCCATAGCTTTCACTCAGTTTCTTTGAGTTTTAGGTAATTATATGCAATACACATAGCTTGCTTAAACTGGCTACAGATTAATTAGTGTCTCAATAAAATAAGCATTTCTCCAAACTCTTACTGGGAATTATACCAATAATAATAATAGCAACCAAGAGTTTACATAGCTATTGTGTGGCATGAACTATTCTTAGCCCTTCAAATATATTGCCTCATTTAATCCTCACAGCAACACTATGAGAAAGGTACTGTTAATATCCTCACTTTACAGAAGAGGAAATGTGATCAGAGAGGTGATCAAGGTCATTGAGCTAATCAGTGACAGGTTGGATCTAAATCATTCTTCTTCCAGAGCTCCTGCTCTTAACCATTAACTATTACCTCTGAGGGGTTTTTTTCTTTTAATTTTTTCATTTTTAGTGATATTTTAACAATATAAAAATATTGTTATTTTAACAATATTTTTTAACAATATGATATTTTAACAATTATAAAGTAATCCATTTATGCTAAGGGAAATTGGTTCCAGGAAATCTGTGGATAATCAAGTCCCTTATATGAAATGATATATTTGCAGGTATAATACACACATCCTCCCATATACTTTAAACCATAGGTTTAAAATCTAGGTTACTTAATAATACCTACTAGAATATACATTTTATGTAAATAGTTATTAGGGAATAATGACAAGGAAAAGTCTATATGTTTAATAGGCCTAAATTTTTGATGGTTGAATCTGCACATAGAGCTATGTAAGTTGATAGAAAATGCTAGTAAACAGATTGAATCAGCCTGTAATACTTTTTTAAGTTAGGCTTGCAACTTTAGTCCTATAGTAAGCATTTTGTATGAAGAAATAATTGGCTATGAATAAGTTCCAGTGGAATTATTTGGCCTAAAAGGTGTCCTGGTTTTACTTTATTCTACTTATCTAGTGAACTTTTGATTTCTGAAGTCAACAGATTTGCCAAACTCCTACATTGTCAGAAATCAAGGACTGTCTTCCATTGACCTAACAGATATAGAACTTTGCAAAGATTTTTTTTCTTATTAAATTCCATACAGTTGGGAGTTCACTAGATCTTTTAATAAGAGCATGTTTTGGTAATGTCAGTAGGATCATGAAGGTATAAGGCTTCTAAATTAGACATGGCAATTTTAGCCAACAACAGGTACTGGTCAAGGTTACAAAGTAATTTTTATGTTGAATATATCTGATACCCTCCTAAGATGAGAGGCTATTTCATAAACAGGTATTTTCTAGGTGTAAAACAAATAACAACTAATTCAACATCCTAATCATATGCATTGTTTTGCTGCAGCATGATTTCTAACTTTTCCTTAGGCTGAACACTATGTATAATAGATACCCAAGCCCAATAATAGCTCTAGGGTGAAACACACAATTCTTGAATTATGCCAGTCTTTGCCTGCTTAGTCAAGAGAAATGTCCTTCTGACATTTATAGGACCTGAGCCTCAGACTCTGGGTCTGGGCGCTTATCAGCAAGAGAGGAACTTCAGGCTACCTTGTCACATTGGGTAGTGATGAATAAGCCCAAGGATTCCTGGAAGTCCTAAAGTTTGGCTGAAGCTGCCACTGCTGCTGCCCTTCCTAGAATGATCATAGTAGAGTCACAAGTACCCATTTGAAAGATGAGCTTCATCAACAGGTAGTGTTTTGGGTTGGTTTCACTGCTCTGGGCTCTGATATCCAGTTGCTCCCAAAGCCATGACCTTCCTAAGCCTCCTGACTCCTGGCTCATTCCACATGACTGGGCCTTTGCTTAGGTTTTTCTGCGTAATTCTCTAGTTTCCTGAGATTTTACAGGTCCCACGTCAGGCCTCCTCTGCCATCCTCCTAACTGAGGACACTTCTAGCTGAGTGCTGCCTCAAGCTGGTGGCACAGGGAAGACCAAGGCACATGGAGTGCAGAGGAGGCCCAATAGTGAATCAAAGCACACAGGTAATGAGTAGCTGTTGGACTCTGAATAATCTAATCCTAGAAAAGTTGGACACTGTAGCACATGCCTGTAATTCCAGCAATTTGGAAGGCTAAGGCAGGAGGATCTCAAGTTCCAGGCCAGCCTCAGCAACTTAGCCAGAGCCTGTCTCAAAAAAATTAAAAGGGCTAGGGATGTAGCTCAGTGGTAAAATGCCCCTGGATTCAATTCCCAGTACAAAAAAGAGAGAAAAGAAAAGGCTGGCAAGAGTATGGTGAGTATGTATATGTATCCTGGATGATACAGGAAAATAATGGAGAGGAACCAGGCCACGAAAAAAGCCAAGGTTTACTCTGCCCACTGACCTGCTGCACACTCTGACATCTACATGCTTCTTTGTTCCCTGAAGAGACTCAACCTAATAAAGTCCTGCTTGGCCCTCAGAACCCCTTTAGATGTCACTGCCTCCCACACTCATGCTCACCCACAAAGGTTCTCCAACTCCTCCATGCTGCACACAGTCTTTCTTGCATAGAAGAACCCTGTGCCATAGCTGTTTGCAGAGGCAGGGGAAGATCGTGAAAAAGAAGATGGGCTTTGGAGTCAGGATTTCATATCCTTTCTATGCCATTTAGTAACTCTAGTGACCTTGGCCAAGTGACTCAAGCTGTCCCTAGCTTCAGTTTCGTCATCTTTAAATGGAAATTTAATTTAAAAACAAAAATCTTTGCAAAGATAATGTCATGCATACGTTACTCTTTCTTCTGAGGCACATAGGAAGACCACATTTACCAGACTCCCCTGCAGCTGAGTTGATACCAGAACTGGCCCTTGAATATATTCCATATGATCTATGCACAGCAAGAAATGAAATTTTACTGTTTAACCACTGAGTATTTGTTACTGCAACAGAACACAGAGCTATCCTTACACAAATAGGTAAGTACAATATTTAGCATAATTTGCCCATGTCCTATTTTAGTCTCTAAATCTGACAAGGGAATGACACAACCAGGGGAAATGATCAAGTTTGGAATTATAAATATAAGAGTCTTGGAGCAAATTGGGATGAAGCAATTGGAAGTCATTACTTATAGTTGAAGGCCTGAAGAGTTGGGTCTATAAAGGAGGAGCCACCAACAAAGTGGGATAAATGGAGGTCTCCTCCAGGATAGGAATCATTTCTTTTGGGTGCTGAATTGACTTTTCTATTATGAATATTCCAATTTTATAATTAAATACCTCAGGCTTGAAGGATTTAACCCAGTAACCCCCAAAATACTGTAATTGTTCTTTTAATTCTGAATTCTAGTGTCTTTGCCATATGGTTACTACACCATGGGTACATACTTAACTGTATATGCCTAGAGTTTCTGGATGAACTTCATTCTTAAGCCTTCTTGAAAAGAACAAGACAAAGTTTTTTAAAAAACTGAGTTCATTTTTTTTTATTTCCAGTAAGAAACTATAAAATTACTTAACTTTCTTCCTTGTTCAGAAGATTGCTTTGTTTCACTACTTGTTATGCTTGTAAAAATGTTTTGTATGATAACTGCATAAATAATTTCCAGTTTAATGTAGTAAACTTTTACTGAACACCCACTGTCAGAGAATTAGCTTGGTGCCAGAAGGAGGAATTCAACAACAGGCCCAGCTTTCCAGGAGCAGAACTTTTCTTAAGATCAGTTTCCCTGGTTCTATATAGCATAGTATAGCAGAACTGGAAATATTAAATTTAGATAGACATCTTGAAAATAACAGCTCTCAATTCCTTTTCAATGGCCATGATATTCAGAGATTGGGAAACAGTCCTATAAAAACAATAGCGCTACTTGCTCGGTATGTGAACTTGGGCAAATCATGTAATGTCACTTAACCTCAGGTTCCTCATCTGTATAACTAGACAAATCTACTAGATAGTTATTGTTTAAGTAAAATGTATATACAGAAATGTCTTCCAAAGAATTGTAAAACAAAAGACAACATGTCTCATAGCTATTTCTTACTCTAAACACTGAACAGAGATAGTTTTTATATATATTCAATAATGATAGCTATATCACCACTCAGAAGAAAATATTCTTAGTACCTGAGCTAGGCCTCCAGCGTGAATCAGTGTTATGTCAGGCATCCAGGAACACCCAGGAACCACTAAGCCATAAAGTGCAATCACAAAGTAAGGCACAGAATAAAACATATATGCCAGCATCTGTATTGAATGGAGAAATAAATAACATCAGCAAATTAATAGCTTAGCCTAAACAAAAAGTATAAAAACAAATAACATTTTTCAGGATAAAATCCTAAATTCAGTTTTCTCTTTAGGGCCACATTTTCCCATTTAAAAAAAAAAGAATTTAACTTTTAAACTTTTAAAAATTCTTAGGCTTCATAACTACTTGACCTGAATTTTAGGATAAGCAGCAGGATCCTTTAGGTAGGGCTCTTGAAATTGTGCATATGATCGGCAGAGTTCAGCTGGGCAATCCAAAGCAATCTAAGAACAAAAATGAATTTATCATAAAAATACAATCACTTCTGGTTTGTAGGTTTGCTGATAAGGCTAATGTGCCAGGTTTAGTCACAAGCTGCTATTTAACAAAAACTGCATTGTAGAGGTTCATCAATGAAAGAGAAAGAGGAAATATTCTGCAGATTTATCTAAGGAAATTAAACAGAGGTTAATAGTGGAGTAGGAAATGGAAACAAATGCTCTATTCTTGGGTATCTTTCAAATATTCATAGTTTAAGTATGTAGGTTTGGCTAGCCAAAGCACAGCTTGCTTTAGATTTAGTTTCACTTCTCCTGGGAATAACTAGCCAACTAGTCCCTACAGGAAGAAAAGTAGATTTCTATACCAAATTCATCTTACTATCCTCTCCAAGATTCAAAAATAGCATCCTCCTCTCTCCAGTGCCTCACAGAGTATATATGGCCTTTGAGTATAGTAAAGGATAATGATTTAAAAGCAGGATCCTCTTGTCTGAAGCCACCTCCTGTATCTACTTTGAAAGAGATCAGAAAAGATTTAGTCTCAGCAGAGAAAACTCTAGGCCACAGAACAGACAAAGGTCTCTTTGGCATACTACTGAGTCTGCTGAGTCACCTTCCCTCTCAGGTACCATTCCTCATATCCTTGGCCATATGAAATGTCCCAACATGTAGAACACAAGCCAATGTCAGAACTGGTCAAAATGGGTCCCAACCCAAAACCCATCTGCAAAACCCCCACTTACCACACATACACATCCATGCATTTTTCTAACATGCAGAGGGAAGTGGATATGGTTTTGCAAGAATACAACTGGGTCATGTTATTTCTTTTTGTCTCTACTTTGAGAAATATACAGCAAACTAACCAAAGAAAAGTTTCAGTGGTCTGAAAAGTTTTCAGTGGCCTATGACCTTGCCTTTGTTTCCCTTCCCTGTGTCTCTCCTCTTCTTAACCAAATCCTCCAGGATGATTCTGACAATCCATAAACAGAGACAACTCAAAATAGCTTCTTACTGTGAATCCTCAGTGGCCATACAGGCCCCTTTTAGCCCAAGGACCGCAAAAAAATGGAAAAGCTGCATCAGTTTACACTTGCCGCTCTGTTCCCTGACTGTTCTAAGCTGAATATAGTTAATTCTGAGCTGCTTAAATTTTTTTCTGCTAAGAATAAATTATGAAACAGAGCATTGTGAAGGATCACTGATCAATTAAAACAGAGAAGTAATTTATTGATGCTTACTTTTTATACATAGTAACTCTACCAAGAGTTTAATGTGCATTATCTTACTTAATATTCAAAACAATACTGTAAGGTAGGTAGTTTCATTTTAGAGGAAAAAATTGAGGTCAAAGAAAATTTTTCTAAAGCCATAGAGCTATAGTAAATGGCCAAGATTCCAAACTCCAAAGCTTATAGGTCTTTTTCTTATCCTTCATATTATAAAAATTATAAAGGGAAAGTATAAAAAAATGAAATGTCCACATGCCCTTAATGTTTATCATGCACATCAATACCCAGACTCTGAACCTGGACCTGGTTTGCTCAACACTATTCTTACCAGTGAGAAATTCACATGACCCTACATAGATTTGAATTGTTTATTTTGAATTTGAATTCTTACTCAGTCCCATTGCCCCTTCTCTTGAGATGCTCTGTGTGACAGCTAGATGAGTCTTAGGATATCATCCTTGCCAAATATATTTACATTTAAATCAGAAACATCAAAGGATCCAAGAAATTGAATTCTAATGGCTAAAATAAGGGAAGGAAGATACTTTTGGATGAAGCTTGACCTAGGGACCTAAAGGAGGTGGTATGAAACAACCCAAGATGAGTCACCCCTTGGGATCAGAGGCTTGAGGGTGAGAGACCAGCATGAAGTAGGTCCAGAATTCCAGGCTCTAACAGGAAAAAATTGTTTGTTTGTTTGCTAAGAAGTCTGATTTAAAAAAAAAAAAAAAAAACATTTTCAGGAGTTTTGGAAGCATTAATAGGATAATAATGTTGTTTTGATCTCTTATGCTTACCAAGCCTCTGAACAAGCAAAATACAGTTGCCAGGAGGAGACACATGACCAACATTAAATCCAGTGGTCTTCTCAGCAGGTCCTTTGCTTGGGCTTCTTGTACAACCTAAAATAGAGTTTTATCTAAACAGCAAGCCCAAAGTGACAAAGAAGAATCTCAGATCTCCTTAAACACTGAATGCCATGATGATGGATGACAGAATTTTGAAGATTCACAATTCATATCATATACCACTTGCCATGGAACTTTAGGAGAGTCATCCCCACTCCTTCTGTGAAATGAAGAGATGAGACCAGGTGATCTTGAAGGGCCTTTCCAGCTCTGTTAGTCCAGATTTTTTCTTTTCTTTTTTTTTTAATTTTTTTTATAGTTGTAGATGGACAGCATGCCTTTATTTTGTTTCTTTTTTTAATATTTATTTTTTAGTTGTAGTTGGACACAATCCCGTTATTTCACTTATTTATTTTTATGTGGTGTTAAGGATCTAACCCAGTGCTTCACACATGCTAGGCAAGTGCCTGCCACTGAGCTACAGCCTCAGCCCCCCCGATTTTTTTTTTTTTTTTTTAGTTTTTAGGTGGACACAATATCTTTATTTTATTTTTAGGTGGTGCTGAGGATCAAACCCAGTGCCTCGCGCATGCCAGGCCAGTGCGCTACCATTTGAGCCACATCTCCAGCCCCCAGATTTTTTCTTGAAATGACATTTTCATGATTTTAAAAGATACACTCATTTGAAAACTAAGAAAATATTAATAAATAAACCATGAACTAGTCATATCACTTTTTAGTCACATATTTACATTTGTATTCATTTGTATATATACATATTCATATAAAATCCATTTTGGGGCAGGGGAGATGGGATTTAACCCAGGGTCATTTTACCACTGAGATCAATCCCCAGCACTTTTTCTTCTTAATATATTTTTTAGTTGTAGGTGGACATAATACCTTTATTTTATTATTTTTATGTGGTGCTGAGGATCAACCCCAGTGCCTCACATATGCCAGGAAACCACTCTACCACTGAGCTACAACCCCAGCACCCCAGCACATTTTTTTTATTTTGAGATAGGATTTCACTAAGTTGCTGAAGCTAGCCTCAAACTTTTGATCCTCCTATCTCAGCCTCTCGAGTCACTGGGATTACAGACATGGACAGCTAAAATCTGTATTTTCACAAAATTAGAACATAATATATAAACAATTTTGCAGTCTCTTTTCACTCAACAACTACCTATATAATAAGCATTTTCCTGCATTATTAAAAGTTCCAAAACTTAATACCATATGGGAACACACTTTAGCTATTCTCCCACTGTTGGCATTTACATATTTTTCACTGTCAAATTTAATGTGATGGTGAACAATTTTGTACATAAATCTTTGTCATCTTTTTTGCTTGCAGCACTAGGGATTGAACGGGTGTTCCACTACTGAGCTATAAAATCCAGCTTTTTTATTTTTTATTTTGAGGCAGGGTCTTACTACATTGCCCAGGCTGGTCTTGAACTTGCACTCCTCCTGTCTTAGCCCCCTATGCAGCAGGAATTATAGGTGTGCACCAGCATACCCAGCTGTACATAAAAATCTTTGACAGCATTTCTTTAATGAATTTCTTAGGATAGGTCACTGACTATTCAATTTTTAGGTTGAAGGATTGTTAAGTTTATAAACTTAGGTTCTTGTTAGCACTGTATGATGGTTGCATTTGGTCCATCACTGTGTTTTAGCATCAAAAATAATAATTAAAGGTTCTGTGGGTCTTATGATTATTCTGATGGCATACTGACATGGTGCCTCTGAAAGCAGGGAAGACGGGGCTAAAGCCAGGATTGCTATTTACTTTTTCTTTTTAACAACTACCTCATTCCTCAAAGGGATGTAAAAGCACCAGTGTGCCAGCCTGAGTTTAACACAGCAGGTGTCTAAATGTTTACAAATAAAGTGTGTGTACGTTTAAATATATTTTAACACTGTGGGTTTAGCTCAATGGTAGAGAAGATAATTAGCATACAGGAGACTACAGGTTCAATCCCCAGCATCAAGGAAAAAAAATAATAATTTTATTGAGTTCTATTATAAATGTTTTTGTAGGCCGGATGTGGTGGTACAATCCTGTAATCCCAGTGGCATAGGTGGCTGAGGCAGGAGGATCAGAAGTTCAAAGCCAGCCTCAGCAACTTAGCAAGGCCCTGTCTCAAAATAAAAAACAAAAAGGGTTTGGGATATGACTCAGCAGGTAAGCACCCCTGGGTTCAACCTCCAGTACCATCCCTAAAAAAGGGTGGGGGGTGTAAAATAAATAACCATTACTCTGATAATTATATTATCGTATGATTTATATTTGCATTTATATGCTTTATTTAAAGGATCTTGTCTAAAGATCTAATACCTGGGGCTGGGGTTGTGGCTCAGTGGCAGAGTGCTTGCCTAGCATATGTGAGGCACTGGGTTCGATTCTCAGCACCACATATAAATAAATAAAATAAGGGTCCATTGCCAACTAAAAAATATTTTCTTAAAAAAAAGATCTAATACCTATAAATGGAAAAGAAACTTAGAAAGATGTCACTAGGTTAGATATTAAGACTTTTAACAGAGTACCTTGCCCACTTTGGCTGTGAATAGAAGGGAGGTATCTCAGAAGAGGTCCTCTAGCCAATCTCCATGTGCCTGGATTTCTTGGGAATCAGACCCTATGGCTACGTGGACTACCTTGAATAGCAGTAGCTCTCCAACCTCCTTGTGGGCCAATATATGCACAGTTTCCAGGTACTCAAACCCAAGCCATTAATAACTTCAGACAAAGTACACATGTGAACCTTGTTTAACACATTAATGCAGAATCTGATAAAGTTCCAAAAGTATGGCCTGTCTAATAGAAGTTGGTGTATTCAGACAGAAGCCAACCAGCCTGGTCACATCAACGGAAATGTAAACAAATGTTACACAATCAACAGAGTCACACTGATTGATGCCTCGCCTCAGATGCTCCAGTCCTTAGAGGTATAATTCAATTCAGTGACCAGTGGACATTTGAAAACAGGTTACGTTTAAACTTAATAAAATCACCTTTGAGGGATAATTATAATTTTCCGATGGCTGATTATAGATTCTGAAACCAGCCCAGACAGGAAGACAAGCATATGGTATGCTTAAGAAAAATGCAGGGCAAATCCTTGTTCCATACTTCCCTATTTAAAAGAGAAGAAAGAGAAATTCAAATATTTACCCAAAGCATATCTAACCACAAGTAATATTTAGGATACCTCCCCATCTCAAATCATCTAAAATTTTTCTATGGATCAGACATTATATTTAAAGAGATGAAGAAGAAAATGTGAATTTAAAATGTAGATATTAATGGGCATATCCTGTCAACAGTATTAAAAAATATATGTAATATACCATCCTGGTTTCCAGCATGCGTAATAACTTTTTACCAATTTCCAAATACATTTGTTGAGTTCTCATTGTGTGTCAAGAGTTTTATATATATAGCAAAGAGTTGTAACAAGTATTTGCACACTAAATGTTGCCACAAATGCTGGAGTCAGCCTCTCTATCCTTCAAAAAGTTAGGAATCTGTGATACTTAACTGTCATAATTGTTCAATGCGATCTTCTGAAATCTGCTTAAAGGCACTTCTTAAATTGGCACTTTCTTAAATTACAGAAAGGAACAGGAATAATTTTACAGAACAGGTTTTTTATAATCTTGAAATCTCTTAGTTCTCTAATAACCAAAATAATCTACATATTGTTTAAAAAAAATCCCCATTATTGCAGAAAAGGAAAGTGAATTTTAAGATAAAGTTTCTTACCTACAATGTTTCCAGGCACAAAAACAACAATACTCATTATAATGGATCCTACCCAATATAGGCCAATGGTTCTATAATTTTCCCTGTAACAAAAAAAAAAAATCTTGACTTAGCACACTTGTCTTAGAGTATTATTAGAAAAGACTATCCTCAATATTATGTTTTATTCTAACTAGTACATGAATTAAGAGTAATAAATCAAACAAAAGGAATCCTAGCAATCAAACATCATCTCCATATGTAATACACTACAGAACCTTCTTTGTATCCCTTTGAATAAGAAATTATTCTTACTACCTCAATCTGCTGTTAAATTACAATGTATTCATCACTGTCACAGAACTCCCTGTTAGATGTAAAAGAGCATGAAAAGGAAGAGAAAGTTAAAAGAAGAAAAGAAACTGGATCCATATTTTAAATCATTGTAAGTATGAGTAACAATATAAAACGCACTTTCCCTTGGCAACAGAGTTTTGTCCAAAGCCCCAAAAGTAGAGATAGTACATGACACATATTCCATGTTTTAAAGGAGCTGCTAGACATATACCCACAATCTTCAATGTTGGATTATTGGTTGAAATGTTGCTTCAACTGATAACCCAATAACTCAACTTCATACAATAAAGGAGGCTATGGAAAGCTCAAAAGAAGATTCTCTGAAGGGTACAGAAGTGGAGAACACTATGTGCTTTCTGCCCTATCCCAGTCCCAAGCCAAATGCAGCCAACCCCATGAGGACCTTTCACAATGACTTGTATTGTCCATAAAGGAACAAACAAGAATTAGCTGGAGCTATCCTCAAGTGTATGATGAGAAAGGGGGAACAGCCAATCAAGCATCACTTCAACCTTAGATGGGGCAGAAATGCATGACTTTCTCTAACCTGGAGCCAAGGGAAAGCCTGGGAAGGTAGCTGGAGCCATCTTGAAAGAAGCCTCCCCAAAGAGTGTGCCTTGTGGGATATGGAAACAAGCTATGGGTAAACTGTCACGGACAGGAGAGTCAAATTCAGCCAGACAGCATTGCTTACTTCAGGAACTAGAACGATACAGAGGTTCTTGCCATAGTGGTCTCCAAAGAGCCCATATAGGTGTCCCACAAGACACAGCATTTCATGGTAGAGAACACTAGTACCCAGAAAACAGCAACTGTCACATAAGACTTCCCCTCTTTCTTTAATCCTACACTTTAATCCATACAGTCCCAGAGTAGGCAGCCACAGAGAGTTGAAAAGGACTATGACAGACTCTCCCAAGGCTGGGTGAAGGTCCCCAAATCACAGAACTACACCTGGCAATGGGGAAAAGCTTTAAAATGAGGTTGAAGTTTTGAATCAAAATGTGCTGAGCTTGAATTCCTGAAAATGAGACTTGTTATTATTAGAAAACATGATCAGAAAGCTAAAAGTCAGACTGCCTGAGCTTCACTAGGGTGGGAAAGCAATCCCAGGACACATTAAAAAAGGCAGTGGTGCAAGGAAAATAAAGCCACATTGGACATGTACCTGCAGAACTTATATTCAGGTCCAAATGTACCTGACTGTATTTGCCTCTCTAAATACATGTTTCTTACATACCTATTTATCTTTGCTAAGAGAGCAAAGGCACACACAGCAGGCAAACAGACTTACTCCCAAGCTATGGCTGCCACCATCACTAGGTACATCAGATAATGAGCAGATCCATCCCAGTAGCAGATCATGTGCCCATAGGCAGTATTCAGATATGGTTCACCCTAAAGAAAACATTAAAAAGTCCATTTTAAATACTCAGTTAAATGCTGAACCCCAGACCTATTTTGCAAGTAAAATAAAACAGCAGAACTACTTGGTATTAGTCTTCTAGAATGAAACTATTCCTACTCAATTGGTAGGAACTTGAAAATATAACTTTATCCTGTAGCTGCCCAAACTAGGGACTGCCACAAGAGTTAAAAAAAAAAAAGGTTCTATGACAGATGAACATACATCAATACAAAGGCAGATGGCAGTGTAAGCCATCCTGGCTGCATGGCCAACTCACTGAAGCCAGAGGTATTTGACTATGGCCAGAGGGGTAGCCAAGACCCTGCTTACTGGCTGGCATTATCATACTGATCCCATGGCTGGCTGGGATGGTCATAGAGAAACTCATGCCCCTCTTACTTCCAGCGAGACAACACTGAACTCACAGCTTCCCACCAACCTTTCATTCAACCCTCCCATGAACCCTATGGTATGGACACAACTAATTCCATTTCACAGGCGGGAAACAGGCTTTAAGAGGTTACAAGACTTGCCTATAGTCATGAAGTGAGTATACAGCAGAAACTGTACTCTCAAGAAGACTCATACTTCTGAGAAATTTTTAATTTTAGGAATTTTACAAAGATGAGATTATATAATAAACCACATTTCCCTTGTCCAGGTGGCTACTACAATATCACTGTCAAATATGCCTGGTTTTTACTGTCTTTCTGCCTCCACTTTCTTTTTTTTCCTTTCTTCTCCCATGTGCATGTTCTCATGGCTTGTTTCATGTTTCCCTAATATGCCTTAAGTCTTTCATAATTTTATTTATTTTTTTTTTTTTTTTGCGGTGCTGGGAATTGAACCCAGGATCTCACATAAGCCAGACAAGTGTTCTGCCACTGAACCTTAAGTCCTTTCTACAATAAGAAGAGTGCAGATCAGTCAGCTACCAAGCCAGGCATTCTCTCAAGCTTCACGCTTCCCTGGGACAAAGGAATGCTCTATCATCTTTCCCCACAAATCAAAATCGTATCAGAGGAGGAAACATCACCAAAATTACACTTCTGCACCACTGCCTGGCCCACATCATTTCTCTCTATATCATGCCCTGACTAGATAACTAATACCATTTCATTTCATGGTTTCAATCATTCACACATACATACATACCTGGCTCCCAGAGACAGTGCAGGCCTATCCTCGTGGCTGGATGGACATCTTTAGCAGAATGGTTCATGAGCCCTTCAAATTCATTGGAACTCCTCCAATTCATCAGTTTCTCCCCTCAACCAGCACCCCACCTCACCTCTATGTTAACAGCAATGCCACTCAAGTTCCCAGGTCAAAACAACAGGATCTCAATATTCATTCATTCATTCATTCATTCTCTCCCTCCCTCCCCCCTCCCCCCCATCTTTTCTTTTCCTAATTCCTTGCTCTCCTACACTCTTGGCAAATCCTATCAGTTTTCTCTCTCTGGTGTCATCCCACGCAATCCTTTCTCTTCATTTCAGCCCAGTCAAGCCTCAGTGTCCCTTCCTGAACCACTGCTACATTTCCAAATGATCTCCCTGTCTCTCCCCTCCTTCTCAGCCAACACTGCTGTTGGATGAAGAGTCATGTAGCCTGACTCTTGGCATGTCACTCTGCTCTAAAACTGTTCAAAGCGTGTTACTGCCTACAGGAAAAGCCCCATCCCCTCTATACAGCTTCCACGTCTCCAAAATCTGGCCTATGACCTTACTACTATTCCATCCAAATTCCTCTTCTCATGCCCCATCTGCCCCAATGCTTACCACCCTCATCAGCTTGACTTCTAGGCTTTTGGTCAGCCACCTCCCTCCTGAAGCCTTCCTCTTCTGGACTTAGTGGCCTGGCTCTCTGAGTTTCTCTTATGTCTCTTTCTACCTGTCACAATTCACTTTAGAGGCTCCTCCTCTCCTGGCCCCAGTTTCCAAAGTTCTGACCTTAGCTGCCTTCTCTCCACATCTCCCAGATAAGTTCCTCTCCTTTCAGATCTGCTGGTACCAACTATATTCAGATAGCCCCCAAATCTGCCAGGACCATTCCTTGGAGCTCAAAATTTACAAAGTTCTATTAACTGGAACATCTGCCAAGATGTCCCTCAAGTACCTGAAACTCCACATGTCCTCAATGAATTCAGCACCATCCCTGCAAACCTGTACCCAGGAGAAGACACATGGTATTTCTCTCTAAGCCTTTACCCAAGTAGTCCTTTCTCCTTGGAATGCCTTCCCATCTCTGGGCCATCCAGAAGTTTCTCATCCTCTCCCATGGACATTTTAAAAATAGGTATAACAATGTCACCAACTTGATAAGGCCTTCCCTGGCTATTTCCATGGTTAGGTCCTCTGTGCCTCAGATGAGCCTCTATCACTGCACCTAGGACAATCCCCACCACCCAATGAGCCCCTGGACAGTAGGAAGCAGATCTTGTGACCCAAGTCTACTTCAACAGATGCCTCTGATTTTCTAACACCAGCATTCTTCCAAATTCTAAAGCAGGAACCAGGAAGTCATCTTGGGCCTTACCCCCACTTCACCCCCAACTTGTCACCAAGTCCTATTCATTCCAGCCAAATGCTCTGAAGCTCACCCCCTCCCTGTTTCCCAGGTGCTGCCTTTGTTTGACCACCTTCATGTCTTGTTGCCTCAGAAGAAACCTTACTGGTGTTCCAGCTCATAACATTGACCCTTCCCCCCATAATCCCATCCTTCCCAAAGCTGACTGCCTTCTTCCCTAATTTAAAATTTCACCTCATGAACAGGATAACACCCAAACCCCCTTAGGTGGCATACAAAGCCCCCCATTATTTGAAACAGATGAAGACTATGCTTTTGGCCCTGCTCATTTCCTGTGTGACCTTGAGTTAGTCACTTACCCTCTCTGGGGCTGGATCTAGTCCACCATAAAATAAAATAGGACTAGCTCCCTCAAGTGCCATGATTTGGTTGGAGGTGGGGTAAATCATCAGAATCAAATCACTTAAGTGCCTCAGTGTTTGGTACCTTGCAAATTTGAGACCAGTTTGCACTTTCTGAGATTAATATATTAACAGACACACAAAAACTAAATTCATCTACAGTTCCTCTTTTAAAGGGAAAAGATAAGTCATGTGGTGGGTCAGGAATGAGGGAAGAGTTATGAGAGCAGAACATTTGAAGAAACTGCTTCCCAATTCCCATGATCTCAACTTATCCTTCAGCTTCACTTACCGTGTGAGCAAAGCCTAAATCTATGATAGGAAATGATGCAATGTATCAGACCTGTTTACAGTAAATGAGAGGACTGAATGATGTGGCCCAGGTTGCTGACCATTTGGTTTAAGCCTCACAATCACTAAGCAATTCCGTACCTCTCGCAGGTAATGTGTCATGAACCCATCAATGATGCCATCTTGTTCCAGTCCTATGATGAGGTTCACCACGCTGGTAAATCCAAAAACTGCATACACTAGGTCAAAGAAAGCAGCAGTTTAAAAAGCAGTAGTGCAGAAAATAATTACTAAGAGCTTGGCATTTGCTAAGAATAAATGGAATGTTTCTGATGTTTTCCAGAAAATGCTGGGGACACTTGTCAACACAGACCAGCAGACCACACCTGTCTATTTTCACGACCTCCCCATGCCCGCCCAAGAACTCTCACTGACAGAGCACGAGTCATTGGGATGAAGAATGACAAAGCTACCACTGACTCATCCCACCTATGCAGCAGGAACAAAGGCAATAACAGAGTGGCTAAAGAAGCAAACCAGTGACCGCCAGATTTAAGATAATAACAGAAGAGGTGAATCATCTCAATGATTACCACACAGACTAACTCACAGTGTGTCCCAGGTGTTTGCCTATTTCATAATGGCGATGCCAAGGAGATAGGTGGCTGATGTGCAAATAACAATATCTTTAAGAAAATAGGCCAGTGATTTCAAAAAATGAATACTTATGAGACAGTATAATTGAACATGAAAGAAGGAGAGCTGTCATATCTTAGAGAATCTTATTAATAATGAGTTGTATGAAACTCCCAAATGGGTTTAAAACTACAAGCAACAAATAAGCCAAGGAATAGTACTTCTTAAACAGTAGGAGACAAATGAAGCATGTTTTAGTCTATCAAAAAAGCTGCCTCCCTCAATACTGGGGATGGAATCCAGGGGTGCTCTACCACCTAACATCATTTGCATTTTCAGACAGGGTCCTACTAAGTTGCACAGGCTGGCCTCCAACTTGCAAGCTGTAAAGAGCCAAGAAGAGAAGGCAGAGAGTACAGGAGAATGGGGGAGATATCAGTAAGTTAAGTGTGGGCTCCATGGGGTGTGAATGGAGAGGAGACAGCAGCAGGAGTCTAGTCTGGGAAGGGAAGCCCTGGGAACAGATCAGAGCAAGTGCAGCAGTGCAAGGGAAAGGCCATGGACTTTGATATCAGACTGGCCTAGCTCATCTACCAACCAGCCATAAAACCTTAGGCAACTAACATAATTTCTCTAAGCATCAGAGTTTTTTATATATGAATTGGGGAAAACAAATCACTCACAATTCTTCTGACCCACCTTTGCCAAGGCCTGCTATGGACAGAGAATGCTCCCCATGCCTATGATGATGGGCTCAGCCATATGGCCTGCTTAGGCCAGCAGAATATGGATGGAAGTGACAGTAGTCACCTCCAAGCCAAGGCCTTAAGGGACATCACTTTCTTTCTACTAGCCCCCTCAGCCTCCATATCTGCCATGAGGCTGGCACGGCCTGGGGAGCTACTGATCCAAGAAAAAGGAGACACATGGAAAAACCCTGAATTCAACCCACAGCCTGAAGCATAATGGCCCCAGCCAACTCACAGACATGTAAGCAAGGAAAAAAAAAGGTTTGTTGTTGTATGACACTGATATTTGGTTTTGATATCAGCATTACTGAAGTGTTTGATATCAGCATTACTAAAGCAGAAACTAAACAAATAAGATGCCAAGCACAGGAAGCACTCAGAGGCCACTAACAGCTTTGCTTGAGGCAGCATCCACAATGAAAGAGCCTGGGCTTTGGGGTTAGTGCAGTTCTCACTAGCCTATGTGACCCTGACCATATTTCTAAACATCTCTGAGCTAGCATCTTCATTTGCAAGTGGAAGGATGTTTGTTGTAAGGATTAAATAAAATAATACTGCTACTGTGCTCTGAGCCTTCCCAGGTATGCTGTAGGTGCTCAATCAATAGCATTTTTGTTTATTTAACATGTGTATGTTTGTCAGGCATTGATCTAAGCACATTACAAATATTACCTTATTTAATGTTTTACATACCCCCATGGTAGGTATTATTATTTTCTTTTTCATACAAATGTGCAGACTGAGGCACTGAATAGCTAAGTTCCACGCCAGGCAAAGGGGACTACAAGAACCAGGTTGAAGATAGGAAGAAGGTCCAGCAAGGTGAGAGGTAGGAGCATATTGAGGGGTCAGAGGGTAAAGAACAGAGGCAAGTCTGGCCCTGGCAGTATCTTTCTACCAGGGAGGCCATAGCTTATGGGAGAGGCCATAGCTTAAAGGCAAGGTGACACTGTCTGTCCTAAAACACCCTTGCACTTTAAGCCACTGTTACCAGTAGGTCCAGAGTTTTCACAACCAATGAAGAACATGTAACTTGAGAGCAAAGTATTATTTCAAGTGGACACAATGGAGACATACCATAGAACAGCGGGTCCCGGGGCGGTTTTCTTTTGACGAGAACACGAGACAACAGGGCTACCAGGAGCAGGATAAGGGCAGCAACCCCTACAATTGTCCAGGAACTGCAACAACCAGAACAGGGAGGTGGTCACTTATCAAAATAAACACAATTGTGCCTGGAATTTCCTGCCCATTGAATGCATTGCTCCCAGCACTACATAATTCATACATAATTCTGCCTCTGCCTACAGCTCAGGCCCTATGGAGTTTATTTGCCTCTGGGCCAAAGCCCTATGACTTCCAGGGAACACAGCCCATAGGCCCTCATTCTCCTTTCTTCCCACCTGTCTCACTTTCACAAGATGTATCTAGAGCTGCCTCTGCCCTACTCTACCCTGTCCCTGAGATGGCTATTGCCCTGATTCCTATTCTTCCCACCCTTTCCCCTGGCATCTGACAGGCCTAACCACTAAATCAGCCACCTCCCTCAGGGCCAGCCAGAAATCCTCAGACTGACCTCCAGGGAATATACAGGAATTATGACTACACACACCTTTCAGGGGGACAAGGCATATTGTGCACTCCTTTGTGGCAGGTACTGCTGCAGTCCTGGGGGTACTGGATAAAAACAAAAGAAGCCCTAATCTATGTGCAGGGACCCATCTCAATAGAATCTGAGTCATGACCAACAAGGTCACCTCTAGTTCTAAGGAGACACTCTCCCTCCTGCATCCCCAGCACTGACAGTGCTTCCAGTTATAGATAAAGAACCACCTAGCCACTCCAATAGCCTGCTACACCAGAACCCTCTTACAATCCCTTAGGGCTGCTACAAGCTCCACTCCTCAGCTGACACCCCTCCACACCACCACAGCCCAACATTAGAACCTTCGGATAACGTTCACCATATACCCCTGGGAAAGAGGAAGAAGATTATGAAGAGAGGGGAGGGAAATGGATGGACAGACTGAAGGATGAATAGATAACAGTTTTATGAAAAGAAAATGATGACTGTGCCAGTATGCATGTGAAAAACAAAAACAGGAAGTTTCTGATGGTGCACATCAGTGGATACTCCAAGTTCCTCCAAAAGGTATGAGTTGAAGGAGGAGGAAGCTGATGTGGGTCAAGAACATGATGCTGGATAGTGAAGAGGGAAAAGGCTGGTGTGCTATATAAGCTGCAAAGTGTTTTAACAATGAGCAGCCTGAGGCAGGTGATTAGCAGACAACCCTCTTCCCTGATCTGACCAAGGGCCCAAACTCAATGCCTGCATAATCACATGGCTGGTGCTCTTCTGGAGAATGAGAAGCAGTGTAACTGGTTCACAGCATCCTCTCATACTCTCCACCTCTAGAGGAGGAGGAAAGAATAAAGGAAACTGGGGCAGCAGATCATCTCTGCCTAGCAGCACTGTCCCCAAAGACCCTCTTCTGACAGCTAAATGCAGTATCTGCTCAAAACAGGCAGAAACAGGTCCAAAAGGAACTCTGGGGGATGGTTAAGAGCTGCAACTAACCCAAAGGTGAAAGGGTTGTTAGTCTTGAGGGTAGGATGATCAATGACACCCATCTATGAATAGATGTCTACAGAGAGGGGGCATGTATGGATGAGAATGAGCAAAGTGTGTGTGTGAGAGAAAGAGAGAGACCCCAATTCTTTCCTGAACCTTCACTATTTCCTTTTTCTATTTCTTAGACTTTCATTCCCACCAGAAATGAAGGAAGCTCGAGTTAACGAAGTCAAGCATCACTGTAAAGCTCCTGTGCACAAGACGCTGAGCTGGGCAGGACAACACTAAGGTGAACTGTACCCTGGGAAGGTAAACTCTGACCACAAGAAAGAAACACTTATGGGAAAGGTGCAGTTAAGGGACCAGGTGGGCTCAAAGCAGAGAAAAATCTTTCATTTGGAAGAAGGGTCTACTACAAAAGGAAGCAGAATCTTACTCTGGGCCACAGAGCCCAGGTGTGCTTCAACATTCAACAATAGAGAGGAAAGAGAGGGTACAGCGTGAGCAGGGGCAAGTTATAAGGGTGTTCAAGGGGCAAAGACAGTCTGAAGCACTAGCTAGGTGAGCTGGAGGTGAAGGCTGAGCCTCAGAGATATACAGAGGGCTGGGGGGAGGGGAGGATGCCTTTGCCACAGTCCAGTAATAGACGGCCAGCCCCAAGGAGAACTGAAAGGAGGGAATGAACACTAGACTAGCCCTGAACTTGTGGGGAAGGAGATAGAAGAAAGGGATTGGAGAAAGAAGAGCCAGGGGTCAAAGGCCATGGGATTTTAACCTGCAAGAGGAAAAGAAGGATAGTTGGAACTTATTATTGAAAACACTGTAGGACTTAACAATGTGATCAATAATGCACAGTGGTTTCAGTCTGTATTCAGTAAGTGCCATTTCCATTTTCCCTGTGGCTGAGGCCCAAACCTCAGGGTTGTCCTCAAATCCTCTCTTTACTTCTATGCAATCCTTCTGCAGCAGGCAGCTCTCCCTCTGAATTTCCACCACACCCATTCACTTCCTTTCCCAACTTTGCTCATTGTTCCCCTGCCTGCAAGGATTTATCCCCACATCTTGCTGTAGCTAAAGTGTCACCTTCTCCAAGAAGCCTTCCCTAACCAGCAGCCCCCTTCTTAACCATGCTAGTTTGGTGTCATGATAGCATGTTACTGTTTATGTATTTGTTGATGTCTCTTTCAATACATGCCACCCAACTTTTTCTTGCCTATTCATAGCTATGTCCCCAGCACAAAGCACACAGGTATTCACTGCACTGGAACTGTCCATAGGCTATTTCAGAAGCACAGGGTCCCTGTGTACTATATGGAGAGGCACATAACCCAGAGCTGCTTCTTCCAGAAGATGCCTTGGGTCAAATCAAGGGCAGACACCACCAGTACCCACAGAAGCGAGAGAGAAGTCACTACCCTGTGTGCAAACACTTGTCTGCTACCTGGAAGTCTGGAGGGGGTTCGCAGGGTATAGACTGATGCAATTTCCTTAGCACCAACTGCTGTGAGAAATAGAGCAGGTTACTTCCTCCTCCCCCCTCCCCACAGCAACCAAAACCATCAGGCACGAAGGCTGGCTCCTTTCCATTGCCCTCCCAGGCCTTCAGCTGCCCATGGGGGAAGGTGTTGGTTAGTCAGTAATCCCTTCAGAGAAGTGGGAGGCAGAGCTTTGATCCAAAGCTTGTGCTGCCTCCTTCAGTCCCACCCATATCCTTAGCATTGATCTGCCCTGCCTCTACTCCCCGCCCCCATCTTATCTTCCATTCATAATGCCCCTTCACAGTTCTCACCGGATCTCAACAGGATGCAAATTTAGTCCATTTGACAGACCAGAGCACTGAGGCCAGGCTACCCCATTAGTGGCAAGGCCAGTCCTAGAACTAGGGCTATTTCTGCTAGTCATTTACAACAGCTTCTAAAATTAAGAAATGGTAAGTATGTGAAAGTCCTTACATGGAAACATTTTTGTGAAATGGGAACGGAATAAGACACACGCAAGATACCATGGCCAAGCTCGTAGTTTCCGTGTTTGTTCTGCTGACCACTGGCCCTGAGCTCCTTAAGGGCAGGAGAATTGCCCAACTGACCTCTATAACCCCAGCACGGTGTGACACGGAGCGGGCGCCCAGCACTTGGTCCCTAATTGCACAGGTCTGGGCAAGGGCCCCGCCAGTGCGGGGTTTCTCCCGCTCTACTCCGGAGGGCAGAACCCCTGGGGCGGGCGCAACTCTGCCCAGCAGCCTGTGGTCCAAGACCCATCCGAAAAGTTGCCGAGTCTCCCGCGTAAGGACCTGACTCTCGCCGCCCCCCGACGCGCCCCCAGCCGCGTCCGCTCACTTACTCCTGGTGGGCCGCCAGGTGGTTGAAGATGTAGGTGACCGGGATGGCTGAGAGGGACAGCACGAACACCCCGGTGGCCGCAGAGGCACTCATCGCCGCCGCCGAGCCGCTCGCCCTTCACCGCATCCCTCCAGGCGCCCCGCCCCGGCTTCCGGCGGCGCCCGCGCCCCTCGGCGTCGGCCCTTGTAGACGCCCGCCCCGCGCCAGGCGCCGCGCCCTGCCGCACCGCACCCTCAGCGGTCCCCTCCGCGGACCTGCAGTGTACCCGGCGCCCAGAAGCGCCGGCCGGGATGTGCTGGGCTGCGGCGCAGCCTGGGGAGGCGTCTTCGCTATGCTCCTGCCAGGGCTCAGCGGCTAGTGGGACCGCGTTGAGGGCAGCGACACCCGCCGCCGGGGACAGGTGACCCTGGTGGGGCCACTCACTCTGCGAGAAGGCAGCGGACCGGGCTAGGGGCGCTTTCCCCAGCCCTGGGCACAGCGGGAGCTGGTCATCTACGAGTTGGAGAGACGCTGGACTGAGCTGGGGGCCAGCGGTGGGTGGAGCCAGGCCCCAGGGTGTCAGAGAGGGCAGGGCCCGCGAGATAGTCCACGGGGAAGCCCACGGCCCAGAGACCGGGAGGTGCAAATACTCTAGAATCGTGGAACTACTCTGCCCAACAGCTTTCAGCCGGCCACAAGCACAGCTCCTGTGCAGAGTGGAATCCCTGCTTTAAATCCTGGCTGCCCACTCATCAGCTGTTGACCTTTATCAAGTTACTTAACCTCTCTGTGTCTTTTTCCTATCTGTGAAATGTCGATAACCTGCTCCATGGTTTGATTTTTGGAATAACGGAGTTAAATGTGTAAAGTGCTTACCCTGCACTGCTCAGCGTGCTCCCTTCTCCTGCAATCCCCTGCCCCCGCCCACCACCACCTTTTTTTCTTTTTTAATTAAAATTGACCCTGTAAAAAATGTAAGAGACTAGATCAGCATATATCTAGTAAGTGTCCCTGGAAGCCAGGTTAGGACCAACTAGCCTTCACTAGGCCCTGCATGGTATAAAGACTGGAAGACAACGTCTCTCCTCAGAATATTGTCATATACTGTATATCAGTATATGTACTGATTAAGTACATATACTGATTAAGGAGAATAATGAATACTTTTGTTCTGACTGACTGCTTTCTGCAGATGGTGGTAGGTCAGAAAGCCTCCAGGGGCTAACCCTGGATTGACCCGAGGCTGGGGAAGGGTTAAGAACCAAGTTTTAGAGGGAGAACATCTCAGCCATGGAAGGATATAATGGCAGGTCTTATGTCCTTAAAATTGATAGAGAACTCAAGAGGCCAATTGGCTCTTTTTCACATGAGGAAAATGAGTCACAAAGAGGTTATGACCTACTCCAGGGCTATTCAACTTTTCAAAAGCCAGCTCTCCTCATCCGCCGACTTAGCTCCTTTTAAAGTCTTCTCCGACTCTGAGCACATAATGATAAAATCTTGGCCCAAACTGTGACATATCCACATTTTCTTCAAGAGATATCCTTACCTGTAACCTGGACATCACCCTCAGTGAATGATCTTTTTAGATCATCATTGTCTAATGAAAATATACGCCATAACTGTGAACCCCATGTATACTTTAAATTCTCTAATAGCCACATTAAAAAGATAAAAAGAATCAGATGGAATTCCATTTTAGTAATATATTTTATTTTGCTCAATGTATCCAAAAAGATCATTTCAACAAGTCATCAATATGAAATATATTGAGATTAATGAGATTTTTTTCATTCTATGTCTTTGAACTCCTTGGTGTATTTGACACAGCACATCTCAGTTCAGACTAGCCACATTTCAAGTACTCAACCAAGTGGCTAGTGGCTTTTTTATTAGACATTTCAGTTCTAGATGTCCTCCTAACATATTGACCTGACTTTAATCATGCTCTCTGCTACTGTAAGGATAAGTGTGAGGGATGGGGTTGTGGCTCAGTGATAGAGCATTTGCCTCACATGTGTAAGGCACTGGGTTCAATATTCGGTAACACATATAAATAAATGAATAAAATAAAGGTCCATCAATAACTTTAAAAAAGTTTTTTTTTAAATGAATGCAAGCTGGGCAAGGTGGTATTCACCTGTAATCCCAGCAACTCAGGGAGCTGAGGCAAGATGATCATAAGTTCACGGACAGTCTCAGCAACTTAGTGAAGCCCTAAGCAACTTAGACTCTGTCTCAAAACAAAAAAGGGCCTGGGATGTGGCTCAGTGGTAAGGGGCCCCTGTGTTCAATCCCCAGTACAAAAAAAGTGGGAATGATAAAAATCACTAATCAATTTATTTGTTCAACAGACATCTTCTGAGAGTCTATCCTGTTTCCACTGTTCTAAGAGGACACACAAAGATGAGTTATAAATTGCCTAAGAAAATAACAGTCTAGTGTGAGAGAAAGACATGTGAATATTCGCCATACAATAAAGCAAAAGACAGGTACAGATTACTAAAGGAATTAACCAATTCTGTCTGGATGAGCCCAGAAAAGCTTCAAAGAAGAGGTGAGACTTTTAAAAACCAGACTTGAAGAATAAGCAGAAGCTGGCCAAGTAGATGAGGAAGAGATGGGTTTTCCAGACAATGGAGACAGCATATGTTAAAGGCAGAAAAAATGTGCAAGAGAACAAATCACATTGTGACTGCAAGTAGTTTGGTCTGGTTGGAAATACTGACATATAGGGTGGGAAGGGATAGGAGGTGAGGATGGAGAGGCAATTAGGAGCTCCATCTCAGAGAACCTTAAGTTTAGGAAACCATTTTAGATTTTCTAAGAGGGAGGAGAGGCTGATTTTATCAAAGTAGCATCTTTCAAGTTCTGCCTTTAGAGCAGCTGGTATGAACCATGGCCTACAAAGAAAAAAGACAAGAAGCAGGAAAAAAAAATTAGGAAGCCACTACAGTTGTTCTTGGAAGATATGATAGGACCTAAACCAAAGCAATGGCAATGAGTAAGAAGAAAGGAGACAGATGTGAAATATCTGAAAGGAACTGGAGAAAATTGGGAAGAAGACATTAGAGATGAGTTTGGTTTTGAACATGTTGAATTTTCAGTATCCATGGAGCTTCCAAGGAGGAGCTGTCCCATGGGCAATTGGGAGTGTTAGTTTGTGGCGCCAAGAGAGGCATAGGCTGCAGATACAGGTTTTGGGATCAACATCTACCCATTTATTTGATTTGATTTAAAGAAATAGATCAAAGAGAATGAACAGGAGTCATTTGAGAGGGGTTGGTGAGCATTGCCACCAGTAAAGTAGCCCCTCGGTATCTGATAGAAACATCCAACATCCCAGCACTTGGGGTTGCTCCCTAAGAGCCTATTAGAGACCCAAATTTTTCATATATTGTGATATACATATTGAAATTATGAGACTTGTTTTGGATGGCTTCTCTTAGTGCTAAAAATAAGAGTGGCCAGAATCCTTGTAGTTATTGGGAAAAGTGTTTCATAGGAATGTTCCTTGGGTTTGTGGATAGGTCATAAATCCAGTGAATATAAACTCCTTCTACAACAGTATAGTACACTATAGATTAAAAAGCAATTCCATTGACATTATCTCCTATAATCCTCACAACACCTGAGGAATACTGACCCCTTAATGAATGAAGAAATTGGTATTCAAAGAAGTTGACTGGGGGGCTGGGGCTGTGGCTCAGCGGTAGAGCGCTCGCCTAGCATGTGAGAGGCCCTGGGTTCTAGCCTCAGCACCACATTAAAATAAATAAATAAAATAAAGGTATTGCATCCTACAACTAAAAAAAATAAAAAATATTTTTTAAAAAAAGAAGTTGACTGACTTGCTCAAGGTCAAAAAGCTAAGAAAAAAAAAAAAGGAATACTTGAATCCAAGTCTCCTGACTTGGAATCACTTGTACTCATGGTACCACTGTGACCAGCAACTGCTGTGCTTGGCACCTTAGGAAATGGCGGGTGGGGGCTGGGGATGTGACTTTGTTGTGGAGTGCTTGCTTTGCACGCACAAGACCATGGGTTCACGTCTTAGATTTGCCTATTTGACTCATTGCTCAGGAGGTCTGGAGGTCTGCTTATATATGTTTTTTTATAAAGACATTCAGACAATGAAGATGTTTGGTTTTTGATTTTTTTGTGTGTGTGCACAGCAATCTCACATGCCATTAAGTCTAATATTATAACATAAACAATCATCAAATTTAACTCCAAGCAAAATCAGAAACATAGGAAACTGTATACTGCCCACCACCATTTCTGTAGCATCAATTCAAAATAATTGATTAGTGAAGAATTAAATTATAAAGAACCCCCTCACACTGTGCCTGTTTCTTCCATGGAGGGAAAGTGAAAGCAGAACTTTGAAGAACTTGGTTATATGAGAAATAGGAACTAACAAAGTGTGTTGCTGGGTATGGACAAAGTAGCTCAGATGCGTGGTCTTCTGGAAAATAAAAGTCAGCCCACTTTTTCCTCTTTAATACCCTCAGTCCTAGAGCCTTCTCTCTCTTCCTGTCTTCACATGATTCATTTCTACTTTTTATCCTTCTGATAGAAGTTCTGTGTTCATATGAAAGCCCACATGTTATGGATGAATGTTCTAGAGGCAATCAGACTGTTCTAAGGGGGTATATAGGGACAAAACAAATGACTTGAGAGTGACCAGGCCAAGGATGACTGATGGTATGTCACTAGTATCATGTCTGGAGAAGGGAGCAGGGAAGGGCCAGCCCACTCCACCAAAAATAATAATAATAATGCTACTGGAAGAATCTCTCCATGCATGGGTCTTCCTGACTCTTTTCACTAACCATGAATGGGCTGCAATTATTTTTTTTAAAACATTTTTTAGTTGTCAATGGACCTTTATTTTATTTATTGATACACAATGCTGAGAATCAAACCCAGTGCCTCACACATGCTAGGCAAGCGGCCTGCCACTGAGCTACAACCCCAGCCTGTGCTGCAATTATAAACATAGATTTTATACTGGGGGCGGGGGGGGGGGTAGGGGGGTAAATGTACTATGTGTGCAGCTCCAACACAATGCAGGCATAGAAGATATGTGCAATTAATATTAACTGCAGGGGGAAAAACGAGAGAGGAGGAAACCAAGTAGAAGGAGAAAGGAGGGAAAGAAAAATAAGGAGGGGGAAGAAAGGAGTGCTATAGGAAAAAAGAGTAATAAGAGAATAAAACAAAAGAAAAAGTAAAGTTAATGTGTAAAATGTTTTTCAGAGGTCCTGTGCAGTTGCCAGAGGAGGTCTGCAATTTTGTCCTGAGTTACCTAGCAACCAAAGCTAGAAGGAAAACATAATCAGTTATAGCATTTATAATGTCCATAAGATTAAAAACAGAGCAGTTGCTCGGGAAAACTCTCCTCTGGCTCCTCTTAAAGGGAACACCGTGTCATAAAGTCTTTCCTCAGCAACATTCCTACATAAATATAGAATTAAATTCTGAACAGTTGTCCTCCAGTACATCTTCAATGCAGGTGACTGGCATATTGCCAAATGCCACTCTGTACACTCACTTCCTCAAAATAGTTTCATGGAGAAAAGAACTCCCTGAAGATATGGCTTTGTTCAGTGATTGTATAAGATCTGGACAGGAATGGAAGATACCTTCTGGGCACTCATACCATCACTTCCAGTCCAAGCCCAGGGCAGCATCACCAAGTGATTCTGGCTTTCTCCTGTTGAGGCATCATCTCCTAGTCCTTTCTGACAGGGAACACTAAAAATTTTCTTTTCACATGCCAACTTAAACCTATCTGCCAACTCTGATAAAAGGGAATTGATGAATATCCTTCAAGCAATGCTCTATGAATATTATTTCATGTTAGAAAGTTTCAATACAAATGAGATAATAGAGAATTTGAGGTTATGACAGATGGCAAGAAAGAAGAAATGTTCTATGTTGATAAGTAAGGACAGACATTATAATGTGAGAAGTAGACAGATGGGAGAATAATTTCACATTCTGTATGAAAAGTGTGAGCTGGGACAAGGATTAAATCAAAATCCAAGGTTGCCATAATGTTCAAATTGCCTCTGAGGCATACAAAAAAGAGGATTTCATATATTCAGATGAATTAGACAGAAAAATTAGAGGACAGAGTGAGGGCTTCCTACACACACACACACACACACACTTTCTCTCTACCCACCCCTTCTCTTCAAGAAGAAACAATATGATAATTGAAAAAGAAAAGGGTACTGTTAGTTGACCAAAAAGTTTGAAGGATATCCAGAATATTGTGATAACTGTTTTACTTTGGTTAGCCCAAAGGAACCATGCCTCCCCAATCACTTGACTTTATACTTGGCATATAACTTGTTTTTTACCAATGAGATATTACCAAATTTTAAAAGAAACTTATAAGTGTTTGTGCATTTGGGTTTGTTCTCTTGGAATGCTCCTGCTGTGAGGAAGCTCAAGCAGCCATGTAGAGAAACCAATATGGAGAACAGCCTCATTGACAGCCTCAGTGAAGTTCCCAGCTATTCACCAGCATCAATAATCAACCATAAGGGGAGGTTATTTTGAACCTCCCAGAAATCCCAACACTTAACACCACATGAAGCAAAAAAAGCTTCCTGGTGTCACACCCTTGTAATCCTAGAGACTAGGGAAGCTGAGGATCATAAGCTTGAA